TCCAGGTTCCTGCCTTGAGTTCCTACCTTGGGCTCCTGGATAAACTGTGACCTGGGAGATGTAAGACAAATAAACCCTTTCCTCCCCAAGTTGGTATTGGTCAGAGTATTTTGTCACAGCAATGAAGAACAAACTAGAACAGGGGGGTATCTCGCATGCCACAGTGCCCCTGTAGAGGTCATAGGACAACTTGCAAGAGTCAGTTTTAAGTTGCAGGAATTGCACGGAGGTCCTCAGGCTTGGCAGCAAGTACCTTTCCCCACTGAGCCATCTTAGCAGCCCTCAACTATGTTAATTTAAAACACTATCATAGGTCAGTTGTGATGCTGATTTCTGGTTTTTCATACATATCATCCATGGTGGACTGGATCTTGACAAATTGCAATTGTATTTTTTTTGTTGTTGTTAATGGCGGGGTGCCGCAGCCAGCGTGCCTGACCCCCACCTGAAATTTCTTTCTTTCTTTTTTTTTTTTTTTCGGTGCTGGGGAACAGAGCCAGGCCTCACACATGCTGAGCTATATCCGCAGCCAAATCTGTTTCTCTCTCCTGCCCCACTTTGAGACAGTCTCACATGAACTTAGGCTGGCCTGGAACTTTCGATCCTGCTGGCTCTCCTTCCAAGTACCAGGATTACAGGTGTGCACCACCAGTCCTGGCTCCTAATTTTTAAATCTGTTTTTCACTCTGGTGAAAGTCTCTTGCATGGTTTTATTAATGCCCGTGGAGCGTTTCCCATGTTACTGTTTTCGTACCAGTCAGTGGGCATGCTGTCTGTCCTGCAGATCCTGAACAGCTACATCCAATTTGAGGTGTCCCACGGCCCCTCCGACATGGCGTCTATGCGACTGTCCAGGTTTCGTGTGGCTGACGGGGCGTGGCATCACCTGTTAATAGAACTGAGAAGTGCCAAGGAGGGCAAGGACATCAAGTACCTGGCAGTTATGACCTTGGACTACGGGATGGACCAGGTAAAGTGGGCAGGTGCATCGTCTTTGGAAAAGGTCTCTTCGTCAGCCTGTGAGAAGACAAAAGGGCCACTTGATGTGCCAGTACTTACAGGGGCCTTGCAGATTTGGAGAAGCGCTTACTGGGATCCCTGAGTGAGGACCCCCGTTCCACACTGCAGACCACCCAGGTGATTGTCTCCTGCCGTTGGGAGCTGGACTCCATCTACTTGGGGTTCCATCTGGTGTCATGGCTCCTTTCCTGGGGCTTCCTCTTCGCAAAGCTGACTGGAGCAGCACCTCAGTGTTCAGCACTGTGCCTCTGCCCACGCAGAGATGAACAGTGCACCTTGCTAGGAAGGGGGGATGCTGAACTAAGCATGCTGAGACCCAGGTCCTGAAGGGGCTGGGTGGTACAGAAACACATTTGTCCCAGGTGGTAGTTGGCTGCTAACAACATGCTCAAAGACACTTGCCGCGCTAGACTATTTCCACAGTCCCCGGCCACAGAACATGGCACATCCTGAGGGCGTAACTAGCGACTCCTGAGGGCCCTCGGAGTTTTGCCTTGCCTTGTACCGCATTCTGAAAGTACATAGCTGTTGAGTGCAGATGCTCCCTGCTGGGGCTGGGGACCAGCTGAGACCCCCACCATGCATGCCCCTCCCAGATCACTCTCAGCATGGGGCATGAGGACCACCCATGTCTGCCCATTGACCACCCGGGTCCCATGCCCTGTGTGCTACATGCACTCAGCCCGCTTTCCCCCAGAAGGCCAAGTGTGGCCAGCCTTCCTTTGGAGCCTCTGGGGAGGTTGTGCATGTCACTGGACTTTGGCCTTTGGGGAAAGATGTTCCCTGAGTCCTCCTGTTCTCCCTGCACAGAGCACAGTGCAGATTGGGAACCAGCTTCCCGGGTTGAAGATGCGGACCATTGTCATTGGGGGCGTGTCTGAGGACAAGGTGTCCGTGCGCCATGGTTTCCGGGGCTGTATGCAGGTATGGTGGACTGGGACCACACCTATGCCAACCAGCTCAGGCCATCACAACCGCTGTTGGTACCATCCTTAAGTTTTTATCAAAGCAGCAAGCCATTTAGTAGGTACCCCAGACTTTAATTCCTGTCTCCTCCTTACATCACTCTCTCCCACAGCTCCCACATGCCAGGGCTCTAGCCCCAACATCCTCAGGCCATTTGGCTCTACCTCCAGTCTCTTACTTCTGCCCCAGCTACTCGGTCCAGCTACGCATCCACACAGGTGTCCCCCACCTGTCCAGGGAGCAGCTGAGCAGTGTCCCCCTCTCAGCCCCTACAGTGAACAAAAAGTCTTTGCTACTGGTCACGCTAAGTGACCAACACTGCCCACATCTCCAGCTGTCAGGCCGTGGGGATAAGAGGGTCTGCTCAGCATAGAATGCCTCACAAAGGATGGGAGAGAACTTAGAGCTTACTTAACTCCCATTTACCCTTTGGGTTTCCTCTAGTACTACTGCCCTGGGACTGAGCCTGGATGCCCCCACTTTTTTACTACAGGGAGTAAGGATGGGGGAGACATCCACCAACATCGCCACCTTGAACATGAATGATGCCCTCAAGGTCAGGGTGAAGGACGGCTGTGATGTGGAGGACCCGTGTGCCTCAAGCCCCTGCCCTCCACACAGCCGCTGCCGTGACACCTGGGACAGCTACTCCTGCGTCTGTGACAGAGGTGGGGTCCTCCAGACACCATGAGGGTGTAGGCCCTTGGTGGCTACAGTGTGTCTGGGGAAGCTGAGTTTGGGTGTCAGCTCCCTTGGCCAAATCAGTGGGACCATGGGGCCCCTTAATAACAAATTGATCTCTCTGCTGGGCACAGTGGCTTACACCTAGAATCTCAACACTTGGGAGGCCAAGGCAGGAAGATTGCTGCATCTTTGAGGCCAGCCTAGGCTACATAGTAAGTTCCAGGCCAGCCTGAGCTATAGAGTTAGACCCTGTTTCAAACCCTTTCCTCCCACCTAAAAGAAAAGGGCTTATCTTCTAAAAACAGAGTCCCCTGCTTTTCCTTTGTCAGTCTAGGGAACATTCTGGACTTAAATCTCAGCATGGTAAGATTAATAAAAGAGACACATTTTAAAAATCACTATATCACTGTCACCTATGAATTTTGGAGGGCGCTGAAGTCATGCGCAACAGGTACCCGTTTTCCATGTATCTGGGGTGGCCAGGACACCTGTACCCTCACGTCCTGCCTTCCCCTGGCCTGGGCAGGTTGTCTTCTACATGTCCAAGTCCGAGTCTGTCTCCCGTGACTGGAGGCACACCTGCTGCTCCCCCTGCTGTGTGACAGAGCTGCCAGTTAGGGAAGGGGGAGGGGGTGCTGAGGATGCTTTAATATGGAGGTAATCCTGACCCTGTCCTTGCAGGGTACTTTGGAAGAAAGTGTGTGGACGCATGTCTGCTGAACCCCTGCAAGCATGTCGCGGCCTGTGTGCGCTCCCCTAGCACCCCCCGGGGCTATGCCTGCGAGTGTGGGCCCGGCCACTATGGGCAATACTGTGAGAACAGGTAAAGGTCCTCCGCCTCTGCTCGTGGTCTTGTTCCTTCTCCTCCAACTCCTCTTCCCGCCCTCCCCCCACCTTCCCT